TTATAATATTATATACTGAAATTATAATCATTAGTTTACATTTTATAATTATTTTATTAGACAAATAATAATAAATTTAAAATATTTTATAATATTATCTAATTTAAAATGTATTATTGACAACTGTAAGAAAAATAGTACATTACATGATTTATAATGTAAAAATTAATAATAAAATAAAATATTTGGTTATCAATGTAAAAATTAATAAAATACGTATAAATTTTGGAAATAACACTTCAAGTTTTCAAAAATTTATTTTTATAGGTTTCTATAATAAATTTAGTGAAAGAGATTGTTAGTAGAAATATGAAGATTTCAAATAGAATAAACTTTTTATGTTTTATTTTTTTATGCCTTTCATATTATTTAAAAAATAATTATACCACTATATACAACAAAAATTAACTGCATACAAAAAATTAACTTTTTTATTTTTCATTTTTTTATGCTTTTTATATTATTTACAAAAATATTTATACAATATATATAACAAAAACTATACAACACAAAAAAATAACGCCTACGGGGGACTCGACCTTGAGAGGTCATATGAAGAAGCAAAAGTCTTAACCACCATGCCACCTCACCATATGTGGTTATAACTTGATGATTAATAGAATATATTTAAATTTCCTTTTCATTTAATGATGTTTGTGAATTATCCCACATCTAAAGATGGGTATTCCACTTTGGTATATAAATACCTATGTAATATAAAGTAAAATATTTGTGTAGAAATATTAGGGTAACCTCACACGTGTCGCACATGTGCACGGAAGGAACTGGGTTGAACCGGACAGAACCGGATTGGAACAGGTGGTTCTTCTCTAGAACAGGGCGGTTCCCGATTTTGTATCGGAACCGGCACGGGCTGTGCCGGTTCCCGAGTCGAATCGGGCTAGTCCGGTTTGACTCGTCGATTTTTAAAACACTGGTTGAAACGTTAAAATGTAGGGACTTATCGATGCACCTCCAAAATCCATCGAAAAATGTTGTTTGAATGTTGAATAATCCACTAATTGAGGTCATCTCACCATTGAGATGTATGAATATAAAAGAAAAAAGAAAAATATTTTGAGTCCCAGATTTAGTGCATCTTGCAATACATTATCTAGACCGACTATTATCAGGATTTTTGTATGTTTGTAGATCTATTTGATTTTAATCATTTTTAGACTTTAAAATTTTAGAATTAAATATAAAAATAGACCCTAATAATTTTTTACATTAAATTTACATGTTATGATAAAATTTGGATGTACGTCTTAATTGGATTGTTTAAAGTTGCAATCTTATAGAAATCACACCCAACAATTTAATACGAAAGAAAAAGCTTATATAAGGTTGCAACAAGATATTGTACGAAAAAGCACATGCTTCAAAAATTCATCGATAAATGTTGTTCTGATGCTAAAAAAAACCTCTAATTGATCATCTTGACCTCAAGATGTACAGTTATAGAAAAAAAAGAAAAATATTTTAAAGTCTAAAAGATATTACATCTTGTAATACATTATATAGACTGTTCATTATTTAAAAAATTATATATTTGTAGATTTGCTTGATCTACATCTTTTTTGAATTTTATATTTTATAATTAGATGAGATGTAGATTTTCACACTACCATTTAACTTTCCAACACGAAAATTACTTCTTTTAAGGAGCTTTGGAGAAGCCCCTTGGATTGTTTAAAGTTGACACCTTATATAAACCACACCTCTAAGATTGTATACAATGAGATCATTTATCTTTATTACAATGACGTCACAATCATTCATACTCATTAAATATCAAATTGGATGGCTCAGGGTAGTCATGAAATCTAAGAAATATTTTTTTTTTTAACTTAGGGTTTTCAATGACATTCTTACAACCACATAATTTGAAATCCAAGGGATAAGAGTGGTTGTGACTACATTGTATAAAACGTAAATGGTCTCTTTGTATATTTTTCCTTAATATAATACACCAATAGACAATATGGTCTTTTGAACCCCCTCTTTCAAGCTATAATCCAAATGAACCCCTAGGTTTATGAAAAGCATGCAGACCCTCAAAAGAAAGAATGGTTAGTTATCTCCTTATTGTTTTCATCATCTAAACTATAATTTTGCCCCAAAAAATTACAATTTTTATCATTTTCCTGGTTTCTAATAGCCCCATCATATAAATGAAATTTGAGATGTCTCTTTTTGCCCACTTGTAAGATTCATGATATGAGAAATACATGAGGGTTTAGAGGAGGTTACCAGAGAGGGGAAGGAGAGTATACGAGTGAGGAAGACAGAAAAATAAAGGAGGAGTTTTTATAGGATTTCTGACGGGAAGATGAGACGGCCTTCAGCTTTTTGAATGCCCTAATTTTGGCGAGAAAGGGGTTTTGAGAGACACAAGGTTTTGAAGCACGGTACGTTTTGTCTTTTTTAATATTGAAGAAATTGGATGACACAAAGACAGAATGTGAGAGAAGGAAAGAATGTGTTGGGTTTTCAAATAGAGGATTTGAGAGGATGGGAAAAAATTGATGGAAGAGAAGCTTTAACATAGAGAGAGAGATTAATGGGTTCTTTTCTTTGATTATGGCTGCAAATACTTATCGTTGATACACTGGTAATTCTGAGCATCTATAGTGGGCCAAGCCGTAGAACTTTAGAATTATCTTCCTCAATGTAGTAACCATGGCTTGAGGGTTTTGTTTTGGGCAAAGCAGTAGATCTTTAGGATTATCTTCCTCAATGTAGTAGCCATGGCTAAAGGGTTTTGTTGAGGATTCTTAGTGATCTGCGGTTTTGTTTTGGGTTTTCTATATTGGAGTTGAAAGGATTGTTACATTACATTAAAAGTAGGGTAGGAGGATTCTTAGAGAGAGAGAGAGAGTTTTGGAGACACATAGAAGTAGGATGGGGGAGCAGTAGAGAGAGAAGGAAAAATTGATTGATAAAGTATATTATGATTCAAAAAAAGGTGGAGGATCAAGGTATGGAGATGACACCTCAGGTGCCATTAGAGAAGATAGAAAAGGTATGTGTTGTGGAAGTTGGCGGGGGCTATAGAGAAAAAGCATTTGTGGGTGAGATAGAGAATGGTATGGATGTTTGTTTGAATAATCCAGAGGTAAATGTTAATTTCGATTTGAGTTCTGATCTCTTTGATAATGCACGTTTTCCTGTTATGGGTTCCTTCTCACCCCCTTCGATTGATATCTTTGGGTTGAGTGATTGGGCTAGAAGGGGTTGGGGTCTTTCTTACGCCCCTAAGGTTAAAATTTTGGGTGATAATAAGATTGTATTCTTGTTACGCTCCAAGGAGGATGTTGAGTTTGCTATGGGTAATCGTTTTGTCCTCATCCGTAGTAAGCTTTTTTTTTTGGATGGTTGGAAGCCATCTTTTCATTCGTCTTACATTCAGAAAGAGAGTATTTGGATTTATCGTTCTGAAATCCCTTTCCATGTGTGGACTATGGATACTATATGTAAGGTGGCTAGTTGCTGTGGTGAATTCTGTAATATTGATAGAAATACCTTTGTTGGGACCGATTTGAGAATGATCAGAGTCCGTATATGGAAGCTAAGAAGTGTCTCCCTTCTCAAAGTTGTTAGATTGATTGTTTGCCATGATTCCTTTGTGATTGAGGTTTCTGCTGAGAAGTGTGGGAAGACCATCAAAATTGCTAAGCCTCCTGCTGAGGACGATTAGAAGGTGGTCCACCATCGACAAAAGCAGTGTAAGAATGATTTACATTTACCGGAAAAGGTTTTTTCGGCGAATGTCAACCGGAAAGTTAAGCATAGGCCCGCGAATCGGCTTTTTAGAAACGGCAATTTGAATTTTCAAATTTTGAAAATTAAAAAATGGTGCATTCCCATCGGTCGGTTTCCAGATTTCATGATTGCTTCTAAGGAAGGCGTTATACAGGTTGGACCATTTGTTTCGGGTGATCATGTGGGTTCACCAAGTGGTGTTTATCCGAATGTTGACGACGTGTCCGTGCATGGCAGGTCTGCGGCCCAAGTTTCGGAGGAGAAGATTGTGATGGCGGCCTCCCCAAGATTTTCCTCGGTGTATGTAGAGGTGCACTCATTGTGTCATTCTCTCCCTATTTTAGATTTGAAGGCGGTGAAGCCTTCTCTGTGGTGAAGGCAGTTAATGGTTCGTCTATCCGCCATTTGAGCTGGTTTTTGCTCCTCTCTACCTTAGCGTTTCTGGGTCTTCAGCGGTCCTCATCGATCGTCTCTCAAGCTTTGTTAGTAGTGTTGGGCAAGATGTATCCTCTGAGGCATCGTCGCCTTGCTCACAGGATTCGCTCTTCCCCGAGACCTTCTTTCGAACCCATTGGGAGTGGATCCATTAGCTATTA